ATGGTCAGACCATCTGATGAAGCATACAACTGTATTTTGTTTGGTTAACTTGGTTGCCCCATTGTGTTCGGTTTGTCGTAGGTTTTCAGAATGGAACAAAAAAATCGAAAAATTACCTTGTGTAGTTCTGCCACAAAACCCATCCGGATTGATGGAAATCGGTTTGACTTTGTGGCAAGTCACCCTGTTGAAGAACTTCAAGCACAACCGGTGGCATACGGTCTGGCCAATCGTTTCGTATTATCTCCATGTCATTGGAATTTCTAAATTGCGAGGAGGTCGTTTTGTTCTTCTTTTGGTGAGAAATGTTCGTCCATGTGCGAACTGCTCATGATTCGAAGAGAGCAAGTCACTTGTCATCGTTCTTTTAGTTTGATGAATATATCATTAAAGTATATTCTCCATGATACAAACTGATCAAGGATTTGTGTCACCTCGGTTCCCAAAGTTGTGACCAAGAAGTACACGAGGATAGACCCCAAGTGGTTTCCCATTGCCACACCGTCTATTTGTCGACAAGCTTTGTCATATACACTGAAACTGATGTCTGACGTGTATAAAACAAACCACACAACGTCCGCGTTGCGTAAAGCTGAAACGTAGAACAAGCCGGTGGAAGTAGCAAATTCTTCCGTGGAAGGAAGTCATGTTCAAAATCTCAGATATGGAAAGGTATTACTAGGGCGTCGATCGGGTTCTGAACGGTTGCACTGGACACCGACCGCAACCCATTAGTGACAGGAGTTTACACCAGTCCACTTCGATCAAAAACGGTAATGGATTGTTGTAGTATTGAGTATTTTGCATTTTTTCGTCCACGGTAGGGTGTCACAACCCAACCTAAGACCGCAGCTAAAATGAGCCAGCGTGTACTGAGTGGTGTCGCGTTCCGTACCATATCATATTTTGAAACTTCGACTACGGTAGAAGACTAGAAACATTTCTCAAAGATGATCTCCAATATGCGTGAACGTCAGGACAATAATACACAGGTTTGCTCATTTTCCTTCTCCTTTCAGTCTACTCTGAACATGCTCCATTCAGCTGCCGTCCATTTTGTTATCGAAATGATATATTTGGTAGCGGTCAATTCTTCTGGTCGCTTATTTCAAACATTTGTTGAACTCGCTGCTAGGAACTTTGTTTCTAAACAGGTTATCATTCTGTTATTACCAAACTTTACAGAATTCTTTGCCACGATTAGTAACTTGTTGACCTCACACAACGCATATTCTGGAAAAAAGATGAGGAATTTAGGAATGCAGTGGGCATCAATGGATTCACGGTGCTACCTGTGTTCTCGCAAAGAAAAGCGATTAGAAGCCTGAATACGCTACTCGTAAAAGAGTTTTCTCAATCCCACAACCCAGTTGATGATGCACTGTTGAAATAATTCCAGTTTCTTCTCACCTTAAATAAGGAAAGAATCACAAGCCTATACACAATACCGGCGATTCGGTCGCATATGAGCCTTGTGTTGATGTAGCAAAACGTTGGCTGTTCCTTAGCTCACTGACACTTTTAGATCGTGTAGTGCTGCTCATGCCTATTGTGCTTGCTCTCGACACTAGACTCGACCTACGCAGGAATGAATATGGCTAGATCTTTAATAGTATATAAACATATATACATATATATATATATATGCATATGTATATGGTATTTAGTGAACTTTGTCTGGGAGGTTCAGTGTCCTGCGAAGTTTTCACCTCTATTTCGGACGAATATTGAGAAGTACGTTCCACTTTACCGACCAAGCGTTGATTTTATCCAGCCAGATCTAGATGATTTCAGCGGCGACCACCCCGGCAATGTATTCTTCACCCGCCAGGGACTTTTCCTGGAGCTTTGGTTAGAAAGCTATATAAGGACATCTATTCACGGTTTTCCTAATCTTTCCTCATTATCTGTCATCTTCACACAAGAAAGACACTCTCAGTAGGTTTTCCATAAGGTACCTCATTGTCCGGTTCCTTTGATTTCTTTCATTATTCTTTCGATCTACTATTTGTTTTGGCTTTCCTGTGTTGGTCATGCATAAATACAGTGGAAAAAGATACATAGACGACAAAACCTTTAAATAAATGTGTTCGGATAGATATAATTTTTAAATGTGTTACGTAAGGTCGATTATTTCGACTTTGTGGAAAATATCGACGATGCAAAGTGATTTAAATAAATTACGAAAACTGGTGCCACCGAGTTATTTGACAGAGCAAAATGGATGATGACATGCTGGCAGCAGGTCGTCACATCAACTTATTGGTCACCAATTCCCTAAGAAAATAAGACCTTTTTACACTTGGAAGGATTCAATGAAAGATTGTACTGTAAGGACCAGTTCGTGAGCACTGGGATTTCCTGCATCAGATTTCGTACACACAGAGAGTCGAGATTTTTGTGGCATACACAACATTATCGGCATTCTTATCGACTAACCAGTCATCAGCCAGGGATGGAAGAAATACAACTTGTGAACAAGAAGAGGGAGAGAACAACCTCTATGAAAAACTCTTTGAGTGGAGGGTAAACGTGAAGAGTTGCGACCATTATGATTAGTCAATTATAAACGATGTGTGAAATAATAATGTAATCAATTAGTAAGCTGCACATCAATACCGTTTTGACAGAGTTTGAAGAAGTATGGGCCTGTCGACACAAATGAAGGCGTCACTATAATCACAGGAATAGTACCGAACAGCTTCATTTTTTTTGTCCAAGGAGGAAGAAAGAACATGACTCAGTCATCGTTGAGCAACGCGGCCCGGCTACAGCCTCATCCAATGTCCATGCTGCCACAAAGCCACAGTCAACGTCTACCCGCAAGCCGCAAGCAGCCGCTACCCGAAGATCTCCCCTGCGTTGGAAATGCGGCGAATGGCATTACGCACGCTACTGTTTCTTTCAATAAACACGTTTGTCATAAATGCCGCAAACGTGGACATAAATGAGACTACTGTCGCACTAAACTTCCTTCGACGATAAACATGTGTCACGAGCAAGGTCGTTTTAAATCATCGTCGACAAAGTTTGAACCGAAATGTCAAGCGATTGCGTCTTTTGTCGAACCTACAATGAAAAAAGCGCAAGTATCTAACTGACCGCATCGATGGTGAGCCGGTACGCCTACAGATAGACACCGCTTCTGACGTAACTTTGATCTCAAAACGATCTTGGTTCGTTCCCATCGTCGTGGTCAAAAATCCTTTCGGTACCACTCGAAATTGTGCGGATTTCTCAACAGGATTGAACGATGCCCTGGATGCACACCAGTAACCTCTACCACTGATCGACGAATTGTTCGCAAAGTTAAACGGCGGCACCTGTTTCGTTCGACCGGGCCTAGCAAACGCTTACATACAAATAGAAGTTGACGAGGACACACGGGAAGTATTGATCATCAACATCCACCGCGGTCTGTTCCAGTACCAGCGCCTTTCATTCGGCGTGAAGACCGCCACCGCGATTTTCCAACAGGTCATGGGCACTATGCTCACGGGTATTTACGGTGATGCTTACTATCTGGACCATATAATCCTGACTCGAAAGACACCCACCAAACACAGTGTTCTGACACGGATCCAGGAATTGGGCCTTCACCTACGTTTGGAGAAGTGTAAATTCTGCATGCCTTCTGTGAAATACGTTGGATTCATCATCGATAGATATGGTCGTCGCCCCGATCCCTCTAACATTGAGGCCATTGATAAAATTCCTTCGCTACACGATGTCAGTTAGTTAAGGTCCATTGCACCCACTGAACCAACCCTGACGCCAGCCGAACGTAACTACAGCCAAATTGAAAAAGTGGTCCTTGCTAGTATCTTTGCCGTAACAAAGTTCCACAAGATGCTGTATGGTCGCCACTTCACACGCTTGACCGATCACAAACCGTTGGTCGCGATTTTCGGTTCGAAGAAAGACGTTCCAGTTTACCCAGTTTACTCAGACACAATGCGAGTGCTACCTGTAACTTTTACTGAAGTACAAAGGGCAACCAGACAGGATCCTATTTTGCAACAAGTTGCTCACTACCATCAGACACATTGGCCAATGCACATGTCCGGAGCCCTACAATAGGTATACAATCGTCGAGAATCTATATCAATGGTGCATGTTTGCCTCCTGTTATCCGAACGCATTGTCATCCCACAGGCAATGCAACGCAGAATTCTACCAAAATTTCACGCTGGCCACCCTGGGATCAACCGCAAAAATGCCCCCGCCCGAGGCAACGTCCATTGGCGTAACATAAACAAGCAAATCGAAGAGCTTGTACACTCCTGCTTTAAATGTGCCCCTAGTCACTAAGGCATTTGTCAAGACCGATTTCCAGCAGTGGTCAAAACCGGCAGCCCCATGGTTACGGATTCATGTTGATTTTGCCGGAACGCCCAATGGGGCAACATTTCCTCGTCGTGGTTGACCCCTACACAATATAGCCAGAAATATTCCCAAGTAAATGTGCAACCACCGAAGCCAACATCAATTTCCTTCGTATGCTGATCTGCACGTTTGGATCGCCAGAGACACTGGCGAGTGATAATGGCGGTCATTTCATATCAGCTGTTTTTTCTGCGTTCTGTGAACGATCTAGCATAAAGCACGTCCGTGCGCCACCTTACACCCACCCACCCCCAGTCGAACGGTCAAGCCGAACGCTTCGTGGAAACCTTCAGGCGAGCAATTCAGAAATCCAAAGCAAAGAGTACAACGAAAGCAGCCGAAGGAAGGCCGAATTATTGTTTGGAAGAAGAATTCGTACCCCATTCGACGTAATCCTCCCGGAGCGTCAGAGCAAAACACCGCTGGAAATCGTTCGCCCTACAGCAATGAAGCTGTAGTTCAACCGCCATCATGGTACGCGAGACCTATCGTTTGTGAGAAGCCAAAACGTTTTTTGCGAGAGACTACCGCAATAACGAAGAAAGGTGGACACTTGGTAGAGCGTATCGACGTCAGGGGGAAAGGTCATCTACGAAATCATAGATGGCTCTGAAATGTGGATGCGGCACGCCAACCAACTGAAACCGACATCCTGCACTCAAGAACCGAATCGTGAACCAGAATTGTCGCTAGACATAATAATGAACGAATTCGCCATGCCAATTCCCAGCCGCGATTCACAAAAACCAGCGCCCTCAGTAAAGGCCAAAGAAACCCTGCAACCTAGACGACAAACGGATCGCATGGGCACAGCAAAAAAGCCGTTCTAAATCCATCCGATATTACGATCCTACGACCAGCCGTCGAGCCGACGGAGCCTACGCAAACCGTCCGATCGCGCACGCCTTCGATTTAGACCACACACGCTCGCAACGCTCCAGACAGGCTGGACCTGATCTGATGATCACAGAATGTGTCAGTCAATGTTGATAAAATCGATCAATTGATCTGTCAAGGACACAATCTGATTGGTACATTACTGCAGCGTTCTCGTGTGCACGATTGGTTTTATATGATTTTCGTATCGATATCTTATCAACAAATGCACGCTGACTGTCGTCTCAACTTGTGTTCTCTCTCCGCGTTGTCTTTGGGGTATAGGCAAGAGGCACCCGTGTCATTCGTATTACTAGACCAAACACAACACTTACCCTGGCCCCGAAATTTCATCAACACGAACACCACCAACACTCCAATCATAGTCAATCTCACTCAAACACAGAAAGAAAGCGCTTATCCCACAATCCTCCTTATCTCTGCATCTCAATTGAACTTTCAATATTGCATAAAATGTGCCCCCACTAAAAACTCATACATTATTTGTACGAGCAAAACTACGAATCCTACAAAAGTGTTTTTTTCCGTTTCACGTTACTGCTCACGTATTGTTTTCCCAATCTCCGGAATAAAAGAATCGAAAATGTTTCGAATTGGACCAATCATCAGTAGCCGTGTCTCTGAAATCTCGTCTAAGGAGTTCGGAATTGAATTATGTGAACATCATTTGAATGCCAGTGAAAGGTGTGCATATTAGATTCTCATGGACTCCGCACATCTAATTACCTGTGGTTCTCATTATTCCATTGGGTTCCAATATCGTTGTGTTAACTCTCGAATAAACACATTTTGTAACTCTAAAATATCATCATTAGTACAAATTCTATTTACCAAACGACCGTGTTTCACAGAGTTTGTAAACAGCTTAGAGATTCAAATTTGGTTTTATTACTAATTTTCAATATTCTCTCGCTTCAAACTGTATAATTTTAACTGAAATGTAGGTATCATACCCACAGAAGTTATAACAATATGATCCAATACAACTTTCCGCCTTGTATGCTAATGAGTGTTTGTAATTTGCTTTGCACTACTGTAAATATATAAGTAGCCTGTTTACAAATGTCAAGTGCGCAACCATACTGCGCTCCACTCTTCCACTCACTTTCCATGACTCTGCACGTTGGCCCGTGAGCATTTGGAAGATCTTATTGGAAGTGAAAGGTGGTCCAACGAAAGGCCCTTCAATGAAATGAGCAGCTTTGTGAACGTCTGAGACAATAGAAGCGCGCCCCTTGAACGGCTGCGCTACAATTGCTCGCCGCCGTTGCATTGTGCATTTTATCTGCCCAAATACCTAAATATGCATGTTTTGGCCATTTACACAAAGGAGTTAATGTTGAAAATTAGGGAGGTTATGGCGAAATACTAAAAAAAACAAGTTTGGAGTGCCAATTGCTAGTCAAGCGCACAGATACAGCAAAGGAGGAAAACGCATCTGTGCCGGTTGGCAAACCACCCATGGTTGTACTATTCCCAGCACGNGACCGTGCCTACCATCGTGAGTAACAAAGTCCGGTCTGCGTTTTGGAAGCTTCCGGACGTATCATGCCTGATTCAGCGAAAGGAATTTTGCACCTGTGTCTTGTGCATTCTGGAATCATGGCTCAAATTGGATGTGGACGAGACCGTGGTGCAAATGGATAAATTCATCTGCTTCAGACAAGACAGACAACGGTGTAGGAAGAAGTTGGGAGGCGGTGTGATCACGTACATCAATTCCAATTGGTGCGGCATGTCCGAAGTAATTTTTAAGTATTCCCAGAATGGTGTTGATTGCCTGACTATCGTCTGTCACTCCAAATTCTCCCACTTTCCTTATATTGCCATGAATGACTTATACATTGCACCTCAGTGTAGATTGACAGAAATTGACACATTTTATGATAATTTCCTCCCGATTATTGCCCGGTCTCTTGCTGGCAGCTTTCATCTAATAACTGGTGACTTTAACCATGCACCCCTGCACCCTTTATTGTGTCTAAACCTCAGCGACCTGATTATTGAACCGAGTAGAGGAAACTCTCATCACAAACCACGCGGACAACTTTTACAACAAACAGTTCTCCCCCTTTAGGCACCAGTGACCACAACCTGATCCCGGTCAGACCTAAGATTTACTCACTCCCAGGACATTTTTTTTACTCGACCAAAACACATCCTGTTTCGTCAGCGTGATCTTTCCCCAGAGAACATTGCCTTACTTAGATCGTCTCTTAAGGTTCTTACCGACTGTTTTACTTTAAACAAGACGTTTTTGTCCAGTGGACACTTCTGACAGAAGTGTTGAACTGTGTTTTTGACATATGCTGTCCTGTGGTAACTTTGTTTTTTCAACATGGCAGAATATCAACCCCTTTTCCTAAACGTTTTAGCCGTGAAAAGGAACGCGTATCTAAATGTGGCAGGAGGGCCGAAATGCAACAATTATTGTCCCTGATCAAAAGTGAAAGAAGACGTTTGGACGCCCATTATGCAAGTCCGTTTTTTGGGACTAGGAACCGTAAATCCCTGTGGCTTGGAATCAATCTACTCTGCAGATAGAAGAAAGTGATTTCCATTCCCTTTATCGATAATGAAAAACTGAATAATGCATTTATTCATTCTTCGTCCGACAAATACCACAGGGATGCTGATTCCTGTTCTCCAAACATCCAAGTTTCGGTGGACCCCATCAACTCTGGTGAGATGTATAAACACAGGTGTTCTCTCAAGGTGTCAACCGCACCTGATCCAAACGACTTCAGTCCCACCCTTCTTAAACACGATGCTCGCCACTGTCTCTGATTTGCGCACACGTAGCTAATCTTTCACTCGAACGCCGAACTATTCCAGACTGCTGGCACCCAGTAAGCATCACTCCCATCCCAAAAGGAACGTCAAAGGTTCCAATAGCGAAGTGTTTTAGACCAATGGTCTCACCTCCACTGGTTTCAAATTGAGGGAGCAATCAGTTCTAAACCGTCTTCAGTTATCTCTTACCACCCCCGAGGACACTTATTAGTTAGCATACAAACATAACCGCTCTACATTAGATGCCGTTTCTTCTCTAGTTCATTTCATCTGTAAGTCCCTTAGCGAGAAAGGTAAATATATGCATTGTGCATTTCTTGAATGCTCCTCGGCTTTCGACTCGGTGCCCCGCTGTCTTTTACTTAACAAGCTTCACTCTTTTGGCTGTTCGGCTTCTTTTTTTGAATGGCTTGCAGATTACTTTTCGCAAAGATATCAGCATGTTAAGTTGGGATGAAGACAGTCAACTGCGTCACTCAATAGCTCGGGTGTACTTCAAGGTGTTGTCCTATCACCTTATCTTGTTTTGACTTATATTGATCACTTACCTAATACTCCCTCGACATTTTGAGTATACTGATGATATCGTCATTTCTGTTTCCATATCTAACCAATCAGAACTGGCTGAATATAATACAAACCTATCCAACCTCGTTCCATATTACACTTCTTCCGGTCTGAATCTTAATCCTAGAAAGTACCATGAATNTACAAACATAACCGCTCTACATTAGATGCCGTTTCTTCTCTAGTTCATTTCATCTGTAAGTCCCTTAGCGAGAAAGGTAAATATATGCATTGTGCATTTCTTGAATGCTCCTCGGCTTTCGACTCGGTGCCCCGCTGTCTTTTACTTAACAAGCTTCACTCTTTTGGCTGTTCGGCTTCTTTTTTTGAATGGCTTGCAGATTACTTTTCGCAAAGATATCAGCATGTTAAGTTGGGATGAAGACAGTCAACTGCGTCACTCAATAGCTCGGGTGTACTTCAAGGTGTTGTCCTATCACCTTATCTTGTTTTGACTTATATTGATCACTTACCTAATACTCCCTCGACATTTTGAGTATACTGATGATATCTTCATTTCTGTTTCCATATCTAACCAATCAGAACTGGCTGAATATAATACAAACCTATCCAACCTCGTTCCATATTACACTTCTTCCGGTCTGAATCTTAATCCTAGAAAGTACCATGAATATATTTTTCACTGTTAACCGTACCCCAATCTCCCTCTGACAATGTCCAGATTCATGGAAAGCCGATGAGCAGGGTCAACCTTGTGAATTACTTAGGTGTCATGCTTGGAAGTAACTTTCGCTGGTCCTTCCACACCCAAAGTATTGCTCGCAAGTTGAAAGGCTCTTTTTTCAGATCAGAAGACTGCCCCAATTCTGTTCTGACTCGTCGGTGATAAAAGCTTTCTTTCAACAGTGTGTCCCTATACCCCTATACTGCTCTCATGCAATTTCCCCTGGTTTGTTGAAGGCTGATTTCAAGTTGCTGAGGCGTGGCCTCTCAATGGTCAGCCGTCTCCCAAGTTCCATTATCTGTTCTGATTGTCAATATGTGTAATGCCCATATGGATGCATGCTCAAAGTTTGCTGAAAATATCCAATCTGATTGCACCCATCCTCTACACACTGACTTGTATGCATGCAAATCCCACCCCAGCACCCGATCCAAGTACAAACGTATCCCGTCTCGCATATCCGCATAGAGAAACTCTTTGGTACCCTATCTTGCCCGAATAATGACTGACAAGGAAAGTGTTCAAGGAGTTTCTCCGACAAAGGACCATGTCAGTTAGTATTGGTGATTCATTACCAGAGCCTATCCCGGCTAACAGAGGGGTGCTTCTAAGATCCGTACGAGGGCTTCGTCTCAGTCTTGCATTTATAAACGACCTGCCACATGTCCTTGGGCCTAATACACTGATATTTGCGGACGACGCTAAGTTGCGGAGAACCGTAACACATCCTGAGAATCACATACCACTCCAAAAACGATCGACGCAGCTCACCGATGTTCAGTCGCCAACAACATCGGTTAGCAGAGTTATTTCAATGCGGCATAAGACTCGTGTCTCCTACGTTCTGGGGAACGAAATAATACCGCATGCCACTGATGAAAGGGATTT